TCCATAAAAATCGGGTTACCAGGTGTTTAGCAAGATTAATATTTAATTTGACTGATCATCTCCCTCTCTCCCTTAATCTCCAAAATAAACTCCTACTTTACTGATCAACGTCCCTGTCACTCGATGTGTACCTAAAGATAAATAGCATTACTCCCTCGAATCATATTTTATATTGACATACATACACCTAGCAATTTCAAAAAAAACATTGCCAGGACAAGAGTCCACCGTGTTGAACCTACAAAGAATCACACGATTGTCATGCATAATTAATGTATTCAAAATATAAAGATATGAATACTAAGAGGACCGCATGGCACTATGATAGAATAGATATAAAAATGTAAGAAAGTTATAGTGCTAAGAAGGAGGAAATTCTGGGAGAAAGACCCTTAGGGGTAGTACAAATTCGAAGGTCGTGKGTTCGAATCCAAGTGACGTCGGAAATTAATTTTTCCGAATTTATTCGTAAGGGTCTTTCTCCCAGAATTGCCTCCTTCTAAGCACTATAACTTTCTTTCATTTCTATATCTACCAAAATATATTTGCCTATGCATGTGGGTTGAATTAAATGGCGGCAAACACTACTAATACACTATTGCGGGTATTAAATTCATCGAACAAGTCTAACCATGAGAGGTTTTTCTTTAAATGTTTCTCGTTTTAAAACCGTCAATGGCTTCAATGAAGCGGGACATTCGTGAAAAATACAAGGCAGAAATTAGCTGAAATTGGTGTTTAGATATGATTCATTTGTATTGGCACATTACGGGGAACAAAATAATCACCGTTGCACKATGCCARGCGAAGTACATCTTGGTGAGACTATGAGACTATTGAATAACTGAAAGTAAATATTTAATTACGTATGGTAAATTACTTTTAATTTAAAAGATAAACGAGGGGGTACAGACAAAGAAGCTATAAGGCAGGAAAGGGAAACATCAACATCTCAGTAAGCCACTACATGGCCAATTTGAAAAGAACACACAGGGAAAAGACAGGAAATCATGGGATTGGCGGAAAAAAGGGAATTTGAAAAAGGAAACTGAGGGCTTAGTCAGCTCAAGACCAAGCACTGCGAATCAACAATGTCAAATGCCATATAGATAAACAAAATATTTCCCCTCTATGTAGAATGTGCAGAGAAAGGGAGGAAACCGTTAGTCACATCACTGTTGAATGCAGTAAACTGGCCCAGAAGCAGTATCGTCACTGGAGGCATGATAGGGTAGCCCAGATAATACACTGGAAGTTTTGCGATCGGTACAACCTCAAGAAGGGAGATAAATGGTATGACCACTCTTCAGAAGCTGTGCTGGAATCTGATAAAGCAAAACTACTCTGGGATTTCAGTATTCAAACGGATCACCCTTTAGAACACAATAAACNGCTTAAAATGCTGGATGAAACTGACACCTATAAATTCCTTGGGAAATTCGAGAACTCCAAGCAACTTGAAGATCAGGTTTTCGAGGAAACAAGCAGAGAATACCTGAAAAGGTTATCCGTTATCTGGACCAGCAATATATCTATACCTAGGAAAATCAGAGGCACCAACACTTTTGCTTTACCAGTCCTCCAATATCAAATGTGGACAGGAGATTGGACCATCGATGGTTTGAAAACTCTTGACAGACGAACCAGAGAAATAATCAAAGACAACGGTGGAATGCACAAGAGCGAATCTACAAAACTGCTGTACCTTCCAAGCAGCCTAGGAGGAAGCGGTCTTAAAAGTGTAGAAGACACATACAAGGTGACAACTATCAAGGCAGCAAATTATATCAACAACTCGACAGACACAAGAATCAAACTTGTAAGATCATTTGAAAAACTCAAGGCCGAAGAGGGACGAAAGTCAGTATTTAAACAAGCCACAAAGTATGCCCTAGAATACAATATCGAATGCACCTTTACTGAAACAGGAACACTGTTAACAACAGAAAGTAAAACTACACAAGTCAACTTGGCAAGCCCACGAGCTATCAAAGATACATTAAGTAAAGCTGTGATCAAAAAGATCTCTGAAGAACTACACCAACAGAAATGGCTCGGAGATCTAACCACCAAACAACATCAAGACCTGAATATATCGGATAACACCTACCAGATCCACACAACATGGAAGAATGTACCAGACATAGTATGTAGCGTCAACAAGACCATCAGACAGCAACTACTACCAACAAAGACCTACTACGAAACCAAGCTACTAAAACAAGTCCTCGACAAGAGATGCCGCATGTGTAATACTTCAACCGAATCAACGACACACGTAATGTGTGCTTGCTCCAGAATAGCACAAACTCTATATAAAGCCAGACACGATAAACTGCTTCGACCTTTGTACCACTACTTACTTTACAAATACCGGTTCCAAGAAAGTGATCACTCAAAACCATGGTACCAGCAAAGATTACCAGAAGGTAAAATCGAAAACGACCACGCAAAAATCTTATGGGACGTACCCTTCTACCTCGAAAGAGCCCCTAAAGATGGCGCTAATAAACCCGACATCGCAGTCCTGGATAAAGACAACAACACCTGGATACTCATCGAAGGAACAGTGTGCAGCGTGGGGACCATAGGAGACCGTTCAAAAACAAAAGAAGAGAAATACTCTGATTTACGAATGGGATTAAGATCGTTGTATAAAGAATGTACTGTCACTCAGATAAACATTGTCTTTGACTTCCTGGGAGGGTACTATCCCCAGCTAGAACAAGGGATAAACATCCTAACAGACGATAGAAAAGAAACAACTTTCATCATAACAAAATGCCAAAAATGGCTCCTATCGCAAAATGCTGAAATAGTTGAGAAATTCTATGAGTTTATTTAAGTATACATGTACGTTCGTGACTAGGAACACTTGGACTGCAGCAATTGCTTAGGTTATGCCCGCAATGTTGTATGTAAACAAAAAAGAAAAGTTATCAATAAAGATGCCATAATAATAATAATATGTGGTATTTATATAGCGCCGATATCCTCTGAGTTCAAAGGCGCTTCACATGTATAGATCATTTCACACGGACCGATGTTTAAGGCGCAATTGGCAGCCACGCGGCTTACAATCATGAGGGGTTAGTAATTAGTATGTGTAATTGGTATAGTAATAGAGTACGAGTACGTCGAGTTTTCAAACAGGCTTTTATTGTGTTGTCCATACTGGATTTCAACCCTCTTCGTGTTTTTATTTCTTTGATGTTTCAATCTATTCACAGGAATGCCATTCATGATTTTAAAGAATCATAACCACCCGGTGTACCTTGCGAACCGAAGCGCCATTTTAGGTGGACACGAAAATGGCGGATTTGTAGGATTTCTTAAAGTGACCGCAAATCGTCTTCCGTCCTTTCAGTTTGGACAGAAATACCTTTAACTAAGTACCTCACAGGTACTATAATCAATCTATAATTTATTGTATGCTTGACGCATTTAACGTATGTAAACAATAATGCGAGCGCGCAAGGTACGACGGGTGGTTATGATTCTTTAAGGATTGAAAAAGCACACTTAAGGCCAAATTGTTGTACTCGTTGCCAAATCTGAAGTTCCCTAATGTTTGCACGGGTCCTGCAAACAGAACGATAAATATCATTTTCCTTGTGGAATAGTTATTTAAAAATCCTTTGTCAAGTGTAATGCATTACATACTTGACAAGAAAGATCTTTCGTACGACCTCCATATATGGCCATGGTTGTGCATGTTCACGTGACCAGTGATTTTCACGCACTTTTTTGTTAAAATTGCGGTTAGGGCTAACATATGATTAGGGTTAGGATTGTTGTCTTATAGGCTTAAGGTTCAGATTTGGATTAGGGTTAGACTTATTAGAGTCTGACCGCTATTTAATGAGTCAGTGCTTTCTAGGTGAACAGTATAGACTACTACATTTTGTCACTACATAAAATCCTTCCCGTTCCAAAAATCAAAACAATTTTATCCCTAGATATCTATCTATCAGATAGAAGTAGTGTTTATTGTCATAGGCAGCCCGGAGATATTGGGGGAATTGGAGGTACTTACAATCATGTCAATGTGGTCGTAGTCGTCTCTCTTTTCCAACATGGTGTTCGGATCACGCTTTGACTTCGATAAAAGCTCACAATCTAACTTGTGTACTCCGGTTCTTTTCTCGACGTTGACAGAGCGACAGGAGTCTGTCCTGGAGCAAATCATTGTACACTCCAGCTTGCTGCTTACTTTYTTGCTTTTKATCAAAATATCTGACTYTTTGGAAGAAAGTCTTTTACTTTGAAAGATCTCAGACTGTCCACTGATTGTCTGACCAACAATGCTATAACTCAGACAGGAAAGCAAAACAGCGACCGCAAAGATCTGAAGATTTAAGGACATTGCTGGATGCATGCTTGACTGAAGCTTAGAACTTTATTGTTAGCTTGAGACTACTTTCTGGGCTTGCCTACTCGCGTTTCACTGATCAAAAGCCTTGACAACAAGATCAAAAGTATTTCTGTCTTCAAAATTTTGAAAAGATGTCAAAATAAGACCAACCCATGCACTGTCAGTAACTATATCATTAGCATATAATTTTAGCAAAATTAGAATTGCGTTTATGAACTTGAATTCGGAGAGTTGGAACAATAAATCATGTTACATGCTATGTCTCGCGCCCGCCATGTTTCCCAAACAGCAACTCTATACATAAGTCGTTTTCTTCAAAACATTCCTTTTTTGACTWAGTTTTAATCATTTTGGGTCGGCAGGGTATTTTTTCATAAGACAGCTGCCTTGTCAGACGTCCATCGACAGATGGTTGGCAATTTTTGCACCGTCTTATCAACATCTATTTTATCGGGGGTGGAAGGGGAATATTCCAACTTAAGATATTCCGCGGACAGTTCTCCACAGGTGAAAATATGCCCAATATTCCGGAGGAAATTCCTTATGATTTTAGTTTTTAAGTAAGTAGATAAGTATTGATCGATTGAGAGGATCATTGAGTAGCCTGTTCTTTAATTTCGTTTAATTCATAAATTTATTAAAATGGCTGAGTATTTCCTATTCTCGCTTTTGTGTGTGTTTTATTAAAATATTCCGTATCCCGTAAATTTTTCAGGGAATATTCAATATTCCAAAAATTTTGAGTTACGATATTCAATGAACAAGGCATAGCAGCAAAAGAGGTGATATTAATTGGTCAAGTATAAGTTTCGGGATGGTGATCGATACTCGAGGCGTTCACAGGGGGTAGATATGGGCTCTCTTGATCCCTAGATAATTTTATAACTTTTAATAATTAGATTTTATAATTAATTCGATCCAGTCAGTCATACAAATTATAACGACTCTACAGGTATTTGATACTAAGCTGATATAAGTAGACTTGCTATTTACTACGACGGGTGTATATAATCATAGTATTTTTATTTAGGTCGTTAGGCCGTAGTCTCATAGAAGACTTCGACATCACTTGGTTTGAAATTAACCTGACCAACAAAGAAAAAATGGCATGAGATACAGCCAGGGGGGGTTTGGTAGGCAAGGCCAAGGTATGAGTAGGAATAGTCGTTACTCGATGCTTTATTTGAGATAATAAGGTCAGCAAAAGAAGAACAGCCAAATGTTGGTCCACGCCTAGAAAAACCACCAATAGCATGTTTGTTATATCTTCCTGTCATGTTCAGCTTCACGGGCTGATATCCCTTGATGTTGTACAGCGAGTACAGGAACGACTGATTTGAAGGAGAACAGCTGTCATTCTCTAAAACAAACAATTGTACGTCATCTATCATTGATCGATAATCTCAATCTTTTAGTGTAGGGGCTGGCGTATTAAGTTATTCACACCGGTTATTCACTCGAGCGATATCAGGTGGATGTCATTACGGTTTATATCATGGTCATCTCTTACTTACTGTCCCAAGTTACGTCAGAGTAGCCACCGAAAATGTATTGGTTAACGCGAACAATGGTAACCGAAGGTCCACGACCGTCACATTTCGGGTGAAATTGTTTTTCGACGTCCCATCCATCTGAGCTGGCATGCCAGCACAGGTTCCAATGGCTTGTACCGCGATCTTGCAATACAGGATCTAGATATGTTGTTAGGACCTGCAGATAGCTGTCATTWCCATAGTTAGAAAGAATGGAGGATTTCTCGAGTCCTCCTGAAATACAAACAATATAAACCATTAATCATAACACAGTAACAGTACTCAATGTGTTGTTTATAGAACGAGAGTGCGTGTTCGGGATATGAAGATTCGAGCCGCAGGCGAGAATCTATATACCCGATAAAACTCGCATTCGAGTTCTAAAAAGCTAAAAAGTGCGAAAACAAAGATAATGCATATTAATTAACTTTTAATGAGCATGTGCATTGGGGAATTGAAAAATTTTTTATCCCACACGTAAGAACGGCTGGTCTATGCTATAGTGCATGTCTGCACATTGATTGAAAATGATTTAAAACCTAGCAAAGGTCTATGATGCGACATTAAAACTGAGATCTTTGCTAGTGTTGGATTGCGATAAAGCGCTGATGACCTTGAACACGAGTTCTTTATATCTGATATAGAACTGATTAATAAAACATCAGCACTTTATCGGGATATAAAAGCCCATTATGTGACCCAATAGTTCGATGCTCATTGGACTAATAGCTCATGATTATTAATGATTCTAGAAAACCAGATACTTACTGGTAGCAATGCAAACTTGTCCGTTCCCTACATATCCTGACTTGCATGCACACAAAAASGACYCTTTGGTGTTGTTGCAAACTGCATTTGAGTCACAGTTGTGTGAACTTGCAGCGCATTCATTGATATCTGAAAACAAGTGATTTTAACTTTTCTACAACAAAAAAGTGAGGTGTCCCTCTTAGCAATGGAAACCTGAAATTGTCTAGATCAAGAAGAAACAATATAGGYCAACACAACTATAAACAATAAAATACCGACTACAAAAAGAACTGTTTGTGAGGGTTCTCACCGGATTTACAGTTCTGTCCTTCAAAACCTGCTGCGCATGTGCAAGTATATCCAGTTGGTGACGTAACAATGCACGTTCCTCCATTGAAGCAAGAATGTTTGCACGGGTCCTGCAATCAGAACAATAAATACCATTTTCCTTGTGGAATAGTTCTTAGTTAAAAATCCGTTGTCTAGTGTAATACATTACATACTTGCAAAGATCTTTCTTACGACATCCATATTTGTTGTGCACATTTACGTGACCAGTGTTTTTTTTTCGCACTTTTTTGTTAAAATTGCGGTTAGGGCTAACATATGATTAGGGTTAGGATTGTTGTCTTAGACTTATAGGGTGAGATTTGGYTTAGGGTTAGACTTGTTGTGCCGCTTATTAGAAGCTGGCCGCTATTTAATGAGTCAGTGTTTTCTAGGTGATGATCAGTAGTACTGCCTTTTGACACTACGTAAAATCCTTCCTGTTTTAATGAAGCACTGGCACATTTGTACTGGCAACCAGAACCTAAGACGAGTTAAGACGTACTCTTCCCTGATCCTCCTATCGTATCTTACAAGAAGAACACTTCTTTAGTCAAAGCGAAAATCCTTAAATGAGACTAGATATCTATCTATCTGAGAAAAAAAGTCACCAGATTCGGGAACATTTATTGTATCATTCTATCAAAATTGTCACGAATTGTCACGGATTGTCACGCGATCAAATATTCCTGTTTTCATTGTTAAGTTACGCAAAATTTCCATAACATTAATGCATCATATATCTTCTCAATGCTCTCAAAATGCTGGAAATCGCATTTTCGAGGATTAAAATACCAAATTTTTCCGGGAGGATGTCGCGGTGCCTTGTCGCGCCTTTTCGCTCATCAGCTCCCCTCCCCCCCCCCCCCCCCCCCCCAAAAAAAAACAAAAAAAACACCACACCCATGATTGACCTTTCCGTGGTCCCTGTGTCATTGAGCATAGTGGCAACACATAACACGACGTTTAATTTCTTTGTAAACAGCTTTTCATAGTTTAAAGTCCGTCTATGGTGTAATGCACTGTATACTTGACATTAGACAATGCAATAAAAAAAGTAAATCAAGCCAATACAAACTAGCTAAAGCATTTTTTATAAAAAAGTTTTCTACAAAAAACAGTACTTACAATCATGTCAATGTGGTCGTAGTCGTCTCTCTTTGCCAAGATGGTTTCCGAATCACGCTTTGACTTCGATAAAAGCTCACATTTGATMTTGTGTSCWYCKGTTCTTTTCTGTACGTTGACAGAGCGACAGGAGTCTGTCCTGGAGCAAATCATTGTACACTCCAGCTTGCTGCTTACTTTTTTGCTTTTTATCAAAATATCTGACTTTTTTGAAGAAAGTCTTTTACTTTGAAAAATCTCAGACTGTCCACTGATTGTCTGACCAACAACGCTATTATTCATCAGAYAGGAAAGTAAAACGGTGAGCGCAAAGATCTGAAGATTCAACATAGCATTCATTGAAGTTCAGAACTTTATGGTTCGCTTGAGACTACTTTCTGGGCTTGC